TTAATCTTCTAAGACCGTGACCCATACCAATATTTTATTTTGATAAAATGTTGTTTGTACAAACGCGAACGGTACTTCGTATGATTAACATAGTGTACACATCTTTTGTATTCAAATTTCCTACAATTTTTCTATTTATAAATATTCTAATGAAATCATTGTTATCAATCAGTATATTGCGACATTAAATATATTAAATTTTCAAACTCCAAGTTATCTAATCCTGTGTCACCGCATCCACTAGTTATGTCATGTTACAAGGCGATATTTTTTATTTTATTTTAAGAATAGAAGGTAGATGCATTAAACTAAAAACAAAAAATCTAAGTAATTTTATTTAACCAAAATTACAGCAGCCCACCGGGGCATACACCGGTGCGCCGGTGGCCTAGTCCAACCCTGCACACACTTCGTGTCTGTGTCTCGTATCTTACGCGTAAATTTATAAGAGGATTTTAAGATAAAGATTTTAAGATTTTAACTATGTTATCTTAGTTGCGCGATTCTTTTTAGACACAAGTAGCCAGTCACAAAGTGTCTCGTGTAAAAGCGATCTTAGAGACGATAATCTTATTATTATTATTATTATTGTTATTATTCGTTGTATCGAAGATACATAGCATGCGATGGCATATGGGCGACGACAACCATCTTATGTTTCCCAGTTTTTTCCCCTCTATTAATTACGTGAATTATTATAATTATTGTTTATCATTGTAGAATTATATAGAGGATTTTTATGTAATATTTTTGTTTTAATTTTTTGTACGTCGATCGCAATATGGCACTAGCGTTTTTGTCGTTCGTCGGTTGCTATTGCAGCAACAACACTGTCGATTAGGACCATAAAAACGAATAAATATTTCGCCGATTGTATTGCCGTTAGTCTATGCTGGTAGAAATGATAGGAAAGATTAATTTAAAGTGGACTGTATAAGGAATGAAAACGAGAAAAAAATGAAGTTAAGATATATATTTATACATAAGTAACTTGTTAATAATAACTATATGAATTAAATATAAACTATTTGACATATATTAACAAGCGATGCAAAAAAAATAAGTAACGAAATATCTAAATGTAGGGTTACTATAGTAATTACTGCAAATAAAAGGTCTTTATTTATTATGTATATTTTATATTTATTTAATTCATATCATTTGCACAATCAGATAATAGTTTATGTTGTTTAAGACAAAGTTACATTGTTCCAATATAAATATATATAGCTAATTTTATAGGTCCCCCAGGCAACTACTTTTTATGGCTGAAAAAAATAAAAAAATATATATTCAGTTGACTTAACTACATATTTTTTTATATTTATATATATATATATATATATATATATATATATATAGGTATATTAGATAACATATGCTTTTATAGTTTATAACATTCAAAATACATTTTGGTGGTGGGGGAGGCTGCCAATAAAATATAGTAATTGTTACCATATATTATAGCTGTAACAAATATAAATTTTCTAAAAAAGTAACTATAATTTTAGTTGGTATATAAAAAAAAATAGTAGATATTCCTATAATTCAAATAAATAATAGTCAAAATAAGCAAATATTTAATAATAGCTACTTCAATTTTAGTTGGCTCTACTAAGTATGATAACAGGTTTAACTATTTATTTTAGTCGAAATAAATATTATTTTGTAGTTTTGAAATTCAACTATAATACATATTGTTACTTCAACTATAATTGTTCAACTAAATCATATTAGTAACTTGAGCTAATTTTATAGCTGTCCCCCCAGGCAACTATTTTTTTTTAGTTGAAATAAATATAATTTCGGTTGACTTAACTAAATATTTTTTTCCGTGTAGTGAGGATACTCGATTTTTAATCGCTATCACATTATTATATAATAAAAATAAATGAATACGGATAAAATAATCATACAGTAATAAGAAAAAAAGAAAAGAAAAACATGACCTGACCTGACCCTCCTGGAACGGATGACGATTACTGGAACCGATCGAAGTGGGACGGCGCCGTTGATGGTGAATGCTGAAAACTTGAACTGGCAGGACGGCAGAGAACCGCGGCTGAACGCAAACAAATCAGAAATATGCAAGGCTGTAGCAAGCAAATATTGCGCCTGAAACGTAACTTCAAAATACGCCCTTAATATATTAATATATAAAAAAATTCACAAAAAAACTGAATATTTTTTATAGATGTAATATGAATAATGATTTGTCCTTATAATTATGTAAGCGTTATTTAATTTAATTTAAATCAATAACTTATTAAAATATAAATATTTATAATAATTATAAGTAGTTTTATAGGAATAATATAATAATATTTATAAGTTATATAAGTAATTACATAAATACATAATATTACTTTTACTTATAAATAACAATTAAATTGCAAATGTTTCATTTTTGCGCCCTCCCGGGAATTGCGCCCGAGGCGTAGGTACTTCTAGCCCCCCCCCCCCCTTGCTACGGCCCTGGAAATATGCACCAGATGATGATACTCGAAGGACACACGTATCATCTCGTGCGTACAAAATTGACTGAACAATTTTCTCCATGATCACCTATAATAAAAAATTAATTAATTTAATTTTTCGTAAATAAATATATTTATTTTACTCGTAAATAGAAAACTTACCTTTCGTTCCAAATACTACTTTTCCTTTTTCAAAAATATTGGCCTGACAATTTTTCATTAAACTTCTCCACCGAGTTACATTTGTTTGTGACATATAACCAAAAACATATTTAAAACCATCAAATAGCAACATCGTTTTATCTTTTTTGCTCACAGCAAATTCCATTTTAAGAACAGTATTAAGTGATATTAGTCTGGTGACAAACAGAACAGATACTGAATCGAAATATATAAATTTAACATTTGTCTGATGATTATTGAGTGCGAATTAAAAATAAACTATAATACAGTGTATGCTTCCTTCCGTTATCGAAGATTATCGGTGTATACATTGCAAATGTTATTGTATTTTATACATACTGCGATATATATTTAATATTGCTTAAAAATTAAAACCAATGGTTTCTAAACTTTTTTTGGCGGAAACGAGAATCGTACCTTTTTCGTTTTTGGCAGAAATGGCCAATATTATTTTGGCGGAAACAGGTAACTCCCAGTGCTTAGGGCGGTAAATCATTTTTAATATTACATTTTTATTATGTATGTAAATAGAACTAAAATAAATGCAATTAATTATGAAATGTTTTATTTTATTAAAGCCGATGGGTACTAGGCATTATTTATTTAATTTTGAATATAATTTAAAAATTAACTATTTAAGCATTTTTTACTACCATGTTTTTATCATTACATTTTATATCATATTTTTATAATTAAGTTTTTCATAGGAATGTATGTATACATTTTTATTTTACATCATTAAAATTTTAAGTAATAAAGCAAACAACAATAATTGTACGCTTTAATAACATTTTTTAGACTAGAAACATATTTATAATAAAAGGCGGCAATTTGTTTAGTTCTTAAAGCAGTACAATGGTTAAATCCGGCACTGAATACAATGACGGGCATGTACTGTCTGGTTTGCAAGGACATGGAAAGGCCTCATTTGAACGGCTCGATCTGTTTCCAATAAACACGTTTTCCTTTATTTTTTCTTATGCAAATCGCTGTCTTTGTACAAATGTTCTTCCTTTTCGTATACCATGTTGAAAATGTTTAAAATCATTTCAATTCCATTTTTCTGTACGATTTTGTTTTAGTTTTAAATACATATAGTAAACCGCCTTTAGTTGATTTTTATATGTGCAAATTGCAATTTTTAATGTGTATTGCATGTGCATGTACATAAATTGATTGTGTTGTTCATAATTTATTATATTGTATTGTATTATTCGTTCTTGACGTTCTCGCTAATGAAGCGGACCTTTTCTTATTTTCCTCGTTGTTTGCCATTATTATTATTATTATTATTATTATTATAATTATTATAATATTTTATATTATACATTATTATTTATGTTATAGTTTGGTTGATATTGTATCACCAAAAACATATTTTCGTTTGCGCAAACACATAAAAAATCAATGAACAAACTAGAAAAAACTAGAAAGATTTTTTGAAAGATGGTCTTGTCAGTGATATATATTTTTAACTAAATTAGTCTATATTATACTGTCATCATATGTTATTGCGATCAGATTAGATTCTTTTTAAATCCCTATAGGAAAATGCAGTCAAATATAACTCTACATCGTCATCTAACTTTCTGTACTTATATTACTTAATAACTTAAAAAATCAGATTTTTATTTTCCAACATTGTTGGCTCACTCCAGTTATGTTTAAAAATACTATTACATTTTTAATGTAAAATGCTAAAATTATTATAATTAATAAAAATGTTTAAATTAAAATTATGTTGGACTTGAAATGTTCGCGTGCGTCCTAATCATTCAATTTGTTATTATATTAATAAAATGGAGGGATCTATATAATTTTTTTTGCAGTAGATAGCCAAGGTATCAGGCTAGCATCCGTGATACTTAGATTTTTCCCAATGTGGGAAATTCAATCATTTATTATTATTAATAATTAATTAGTTTATAATTAAATTTTTTATTGGATTAGTCTAATATTTATGTTCATTCCTTTCGGTTTAATACAATTTTGATATTAAAAAAAAAAAAAAAAAAAAAAAGAAATTATAAAAAATAATTAGATATTGAGGGTCACTGATTTCTTATCTATGTTGTTATCAATTGTCACATTCGTGATTCGTCTCATTATAAAAAAAAAAAAGTCAGAAATTCTATTTCATTGCAATTATTTGATCATAATATTTTCATATTACCTACTTCACTTTTCATCTCGAATCAGCTGACTTTAATGTAGAATAATAATGTGACTTGCTGTAACTATTGAGAACTCATCTTAAGTTTAACTTAACATTTTATTATTTTTTGGTAATAATTATTTTTCTTTTTCATTTGTTTTGTGAGTAATTTTATACTATCCAATATGTATGACAATCCTAAAACACTAAAAGATTTGTGCATTAACTATGTGTGTAATAACATTGAAAAAGTTTATATGGCTGAACAAATAAGTGAGACAGACTTGCAGCCTTCTGAACCAGAATATATGTTTATTGACAATAATGTATACTTGCCAATGGAGATATCAGAGATATTATTAACAAATCTAAGTATCCGGAATAAACTGAATGATGAAATATTATCTCTATTCAGTCATAAAAACGTCTATTTAAGGTTTGTATACTATTTTAAAAATGTTAGTGCTTCCGTACATTATTAGGAATTTTATAGCTATTTATTAAAATTCTCCTTCATAATCTCAATTATTTATAAGCATGTACCTATTATCAAATATTTAATTATTTTAAATTAATATGATATTAATTTGTTTTTTAAAGATAGGTTTTGTATAAAATTTCTTTTTCTTTTATTTAATTGTTTTCAATATCTAAATTGTAAAAATGTGATTGCATGTTAGGAATTAATTGTTTGGATTATTTTTTTATTTAAATGTTTAGTTTTTTTGATATTGACATTATGAATATATGTTTATAGTATATACCTAGGTAATGAAATTCTTAAGAAATGTCTAGACATTTTAAAGTTCAAGTTATATAACTTTTATGATCTAAATTTTTTATTTTATAGTGTTAATAACTTTGATTATAAGTATTTACCAATAAATTGACTGCACCATTGTGAACAAAATACAAATTTATTAACATATATTTATACCAATCCCAATGTGTTTTTGATATTAATTATAATTTTGGTATATTTTAGGAATGTTGTTCTACCGAAAACAAAACATTTGACTACAAAAGGACTAAGAACTTTAAAAAAGCATAAAATAAAAAAATTAAAAGTTCATGGTTTAGATTGTACAGTGAATGAACTTATTGGTTCATTAGGAGAATGGACGACCCAGAATTTAGAATCGCTAAGTGTTTCTAATAGTTCGTTCATTAGTAATTCTTAGTAAGTTTTTGAGTAAAAAGAATTATGAAGCCAAATGATCTTAGTATTACAAATTATTTTATTATACCAAATATAATTTTTTTTACTAATGAATAAAACATTTTTATTAAAAAAAAAATAAAATATTATCATAAAATGATTATAACACATAAATATAAATCATAATTTACATTCGAATTATTATAATAATAAAATTATTGAATATTAAAAGAATAAAGATTTTGTCAATTACTGTTACATTATAATTAGATAATTATTAAGATATTGTAACTTGTAATTGTATTGAATTAATTAAAAAAGAAATTACTTATTTTTTAATAATAAAAAATTAAGTGTTTATTTTTGATTTTTACACAATTTCAAAGCATAATACTGTAATGCAATATATTATATTGTAGTAAATGTTGTAGATAGCAATCAAAAAAATATGCCAAATGTACAAAGCAAATGTCAAAAGTATAATATTTTGATAATTAGAAAATACATTTTTTATAATTCTAGTAATTACAAATAATCTGATTAATCTCATTACTACATTGTTAAAGTATAAATTTAGCTTAAATAATAATTTTTAAATATATTTAATAAAAAAAAATTAATAAGATAATAATAATTAATAATTTATTATGTTTTTAAAATTTTAACACAAATTATTTGTATTATAAATAAGCTAATTTATATTCAAAATGGATATTCATAATAATCTTAAATTTATTTTTTATATGTTTTATAGTGAGGTAAAATTTTGTGTTGTGGTATCTTTATCAAAATTAAAAAATTTACGCTCACTTGATGTGAGTAATACTGAGTTTAATACCAAAAATTTGTCTGCCATCGTAGAAGACTTGCCTCTTTTGGAGATATTAGACATTTCTAATACAAAAGTTGATACTCTATTACCATTAGAAAAAAAGAAAAATCAATTACGAAAATTAAGTGTTTATAATTTAAAGGTATGATATAAATTATTTTTAGTTAACATATTGTACAATAATTATTAAAATAAAATAATTTTTTTTTTTTTTAATAGTTAACTTAATTTTTATAACCTGTTAGAAAGCTGTTAATGCATTATGTGGGATCATTAATTATTATTATTTTTCTTTTTACTATTTTTTTATAATAGCCAATCTATAAGTACTGTAATTAGTTTAACATTATATGTATTTATTGTATATTGTTTAAACGTATTCCTCAAACTCAAAAATATGATTTTTACTAGTCATAATTAATTGTTCACTTTTTATATAATTATGTTAAATGTTTTTTGAAAAATTAGATTTACCCATAAATGAAACTATGAAAAAAGTTTAGGAGTGCTTTTTTACTCCTGAATCATACTAAAAACTAAGAACTAAAAAAAAAAAAAATGAATAAAGATATTAAATTAACGTATGAAAATATAACAATTATTAAGTTAGATCACTGAAATATTTGAGAGAGGTTAGGTTTTCCTAATTCCACTAATTTAACCTATGGCTATATAAATAGATATATTTGAGATTGATACTTATTTAATATTTTAGAAACTTATCACAACAATTCTAATAAAATAAAAATAATTAATTATTATATTATATATAGTAATTAATATTATTTTACTAAAAATTATCTTTATTGAAGTTTTACCTTACCATTTTAAATGTTTTTAATTGATAAGTGTTAAGAATGAAATATTAATTTCTATATCATATTTTTCTTTATTAGGAAACTACAATGAATGTAATTGCCTTCAGTCCACTCAAGTTTATGACATCACTGACACATTTAGATTTGTCTTCTGAAAAACAAGCTCATCCATTTGAAACTTTCAGCTGTGATACACCTTGGTTGCAATTTTTGACAGATCCTAATTGGTTACCAAATTTGGTATCATTAGATATATCGGGTTAGTTTAATTTTATTTTTTTAATGTAGATAGGTAGATATGGTGCATCAATCACGATGTGTACATCCTTATTTGTAGTCATTGTTTGATTCTAAACTAAGTATAAGTATAATTTTTTTCTATTTTAAAATTCAATTTCTTATGTACTTAAGAAAAAAAATAAAGTGAATGTGAAAAGAATATGAAAATTTTGCATATTAAAAAAATAAACATGTATAATAAATAATTGGTGTGCATTTAATTAATGCTTTACTGTAAAAAATTTGTGAATGATCAGAATATAATTATGTTTTGAATTATTTTAAGAAATTTAATTGTAATTGTGTATTAATATTTTATGGTGATTGTAAAATAATTTTTATCCATAAAATTTTATAGGAAGTGATAATGTCGGTCCTAGAATTATGCAAGATTTTTTAACTAATCATAAAAAACTCAGATTTCTGGGCTTGATGCATATGGATGACTGTGGCTTAGCCATGTTCACAGTTCCCACTCATCCATTATATAACCCTGACTTAGTGGTTAGTATTACATTTAAATTTTTTTGGTTCAAATTAATAATTAGTAGTAAATTATAAATTCACTGTCTAATAAGTTTAATAATATGATTTATATTTTAACTTTTTTTTTTTAATTACAAAATAATTATAAAATTACATTTCTGTATTTAGGTTACTGGTGTTGTAACACAAGAACAATTGTTGACAGGCTTAAAACGTTATCCTAATCGCCCTACATATATTCAAAAATGTCTTTATCACTTATTTAAATGGACAGAAAAGTATATATCTCCAAAAGTTGACATAATTGAAGTAATTTAAATTATAATATGTACAATTTTAATGTGTAATATTTTTTCAATTATAATATATTTTTGTTGTTTCAGTTAATTTTAAATGTAATGAACTGTCTTTCTGACAGTTTTCCAGTACAAATGGCAGGAACTGCTTGTCTTTATAATCTAACTAAAAGTGATCTGGCATCAAAAATACATCCTAGTGTCTTAGCTAAAGTAGTGGAAGCTACATTAGATGCCATGGAACGTTTTCCAAGTTATAATCAATTACAGAAAAACACGTTATTGACATTATGTAGTGATCGAATACTACAAGTATGTATAACACAATTAATTGAACAAGCAATGATTAAACATAATATTCTAGGAATATACAAAATTATTTATTATTTCTACAAAATTGTACAAGTTGTTTTTTTTTTTTAATTTTTATCCATTGTTTTTAAATATTATAATTTACTTAGATATAAAATGAATTTATAGCTTTATCAGTTTATAAAGAAAATCAGAAATATGATTTATAAATTTCTGAAAAGGTATTTGATTTGAAATTAACTGAATTTTCTTATAAATATTAGGATGTCAAAATGGATAAGTTCAGATGTGCAAAATTAGTCTTGGATTCATTACATTTTTTTAATGATGTTGTCATGAACCGCATGAGTGTTGCTATATGCAGTATTTTAGGTAAATTGTTTACATTTTTTATTTAGATTTTAAATTTATATGGCACGATTTTATCTTTTTGTTTAAACATTTGTTCCTCAAAAATATTTTCTTCTTCTTCTTCAGTAAACTCGGCCACTAAGACCATCGCGACATACATCCTTGCCTCCAATTTTCTTTATCCGCTGCTTATATCCTCCAGTCTACCCCTCCTCCTTACGCTTTCACATAATTTCTTACTACGTCTTCCCATCTCAGTCGTAGTGTTCCCAGCGGTCTTTTCCCAGTAGGGTTTTCTTCTAATACTATGCATATGAATGGGTTTTGGCTACGCCAAGCATGCCCAGACCATAGCAATCTTTTGTTCTTTATTTTTTCAAGTATACTGGGTTTACGGAATAGCGTTTCTAATTCATCATTTTTTCTTATTCTCCACTCACTGCTTAGCATGTCTTTTACTGGTACAAAAATCTTTCATAGTATTTTTCTTTTCAAAACTAAGAGTTTTTTTTTCATTACTTTTCCTCAATGGCCATGTCTAAGCTCTATAAATAATTACAGGTCGTATTAATGTAATATATAATTGTATTTTTAAATCCTTTGAAAGTGATCTTGATCCCAGTAATTTGGCAAGAACATAGAGGCATTTATTTTGTGATTGAATTCTTACCCCTATTTCTATTTCAATTTTATTTTTCTCTGAGAGTATAGACCCTAAGTATTTAAATTGTTTTGTTCTTTTAAAATTTCGGTTATTGATGTTAAGCGTTGAATATAGTCTTTTTGGTGTTTTATCTTCCTACTACCATATATTCCATTTTCTCTTCATTAATATGAAGTCCATCTTTCAGTGCTGCTTTCTTTAGCTGATTTAATAATGATTTTAGTCCGTCTTGTGATTCTTTCATGATCACCAGATCATCTAAGCTAGCAGTCCTATGGGCAATTCCTGGAATTTAACTCCTTCTTGCTGTGTAATATTCATCTCCATTATTACTTTTTCTACCACTATATTAAATAAGATTGATGACATAGCGTCCCCCTGTCTTAAACCTGATTTAACTAATATTGGGTCTGTAGTTATATTTCCAATCCTAACTTTGACAAATGTCTCCAAAATGCTTATCTCAATCAGTTTTATAAACTTGTTCTTAAAATGTAATTCCCTCAAGATATTGATTAGGCTTTTTCTGTGTATGCTATCATTCGCTTTCTTAAAATCTATGAAAAGAACATGTATTTCTCTGTCGAATTCCCAGGTTTTTTGATATATTTGCCTTAAGATAAATATCTGGTCTGTAGTCAACCTTCCTGGCCTGAAGCCATATTGGTAATTGCCAATAACTTGTTCCGATTTTTCTTTTATCCTTGATAATACAAAACTATTTTATTAAAAATAAACACTGTATATTTTATTCAGATTGTTTAACTTTGTATTTTAGCTGCAAAAATTTCTACATCTGAAACATCTCAATTGGGATCCAACCCAAGATATATGTCCAAATTACTGTCAATAGTTTGTGAAAAACTAACTAATCAAGTTGTTGATGTAACTATGAAATTTACATTGAGTGCACTTTGGAACCTTACTGGTAAGAGAAAATTAAAATTTTTAATGAATTATTTAAACTATTATGAGATATGTATAATATATAGCAATTTTATTTAAAAGATTCAGAGTATCTAGACTCTCTAAGACCTATTGATGTTGTAATATTAAAAATTAATAATAGTAAAAAGAATTTAAAATAATTTAATTTTTATTATAATTATCTAGTAAAAATTTAATATTGAGAAAATTCACAACGGTCATGTTATTGTAAATAAAAAATAAAAATGTAAGGTAATTTTTTAGGTAAGGTCTCTTCTCAAAATTAGTTTTAAAAAACCTTAATACATTAATAATTGTTCATAATTGTGAAAACATTTAATTATAAGATATTTGCTTAGATGACTTACACATGACTTGGAACAAATTTATTTTATAGGCTTTAAAATTTGCCCATTTTATTTTGTAGTCTTAGATGTTATTTTTTTTAAGGCATTAGAAATTTTCTGATAAGTATTACATATTTATGAAAACATTCTAATAAATTTGATTATAAATTTATGTTTTGCATTAAAAGGAAGTTAAAATAATGAAACATTTATTTTTTTTTATTTTAAAAATATATGAAAAAATAAATAAAATAAACAAATAGTTTGTTATTTTGGAATGCATTTTCTTAATAATTTTAATCACTTTAAATCTTGTCTAGAATTATATTTGTTTTGAAGAGTATTATATAACATATAAGAGTGGAAGAAATAGATCGCAGATTGATTATTTTATTTGGAAGTGAGAAAATATAAAAAGAATAAAAGATCGAAAAGTAATTTTTGGGGAGAATGTTATAACAAAACATAGGTTGATGATAATAGATTTATGATAATGGTGTAATGAGAAAAAGATGAGTATAATAGGTATAAAAAGAAAACTGAAAAGGAATTGAGATATTAATAGCAAATTAATAGGAAACAAAAAAAAAGGAGTGTATAAATAAATTGAAGAAAAAATTGAGTGGAACGTTGAGGGAAATATAAATAAAGTTTGGAAAAAAATGGCAACTTGTGTTAAGTATATAGCAAAAGAGATTGTTGGTGAAATCAAGAGTAGTATGCCAGAAAACAAGGAAATGTAGTGGCGGTATGAAGAGATTCATAGAGTAATATCAAAGAAGAAAAAGCAATTTAAGTAATTGCAGAAAAGAAAGAAGAGAGAAGATTTGATAGAGATCAAGTAAAATAGTGAAAAGTGTAGTAAACAAAATTAAGCTTAATAGGTATGATGAGTTATATGAGAGGCTAGGAACACGGAAAAGAGAAAAATAAATGTTTAGACTGACTAAGGTCAGATAAAGGTGATCCTAAGATTTTCACAATGTTTGGTGTATAAAAAATGATGAAGATTTGAAAAAAAAGATAGAATGAATATTTTGATAGATTACTGAATGAGAAGTATCCTAAAGAGTTTTTAGAGAGTATTTCATGGTATGAAGGATTAGTTAAGTTAGTAAAAAGGAAGTGAAGGTTGCGGTGAAGACGATAAAAATAAAAAAGCGCTATGATCATATGGAGTTCCTTAGAGATGTGGAAAATTTTAGAGGATGTAAACATTGAATGGTTGTGTTTATGTTTAGACTCGGAGAGTCGTGAAACACACAAAAAGAAAGAAAAATAACTATTAAATTGGGTTTGGTTTTATTTTATTGGAGATAATAATAAGAATTGTGCTCGGAGAGCTTAATGACACTAATTAATGAATAATAATAATATATTTGTGCTCGGAGAGCTTACTACAAAATAGTGGACGGAATCACGGCTCGCGTTGACGGAAATAGAAACCTTGAGTGAACGATAATGCAGTCGATGCAACGCCGGAATTACTCTGACTATTGCCCCATAGACCGATGGTTATGTTGATCGATGCAATGTCAGAATAAATCCGACTAATACACCACTGACGAACATTAATATATTATTCGTCGAGGTCGGGGGGGATACTGTCTTCCAATGGTGCGTAAGTTTGCCCGGGAAGGTCTACAACACTGGAGAGACAGGAAATGGCGACTTTTGATCACGCCACCGTGCCTTTTATAGGTAGATGCACCGATAACGGCATCTGGTGGCGCGATGGATAAAGTTTAAAGTTTTTTTTTGTGATGGCTCGGAATCCGATAGACAAAGTTTAATTAAAATAGTACTTTAATTAACTAATTAACATGCGCGGACAAACTCGATATCTCAATAAATAATAACCATCATCGATGAATATATAATAATCACTCTAAGATAAAATACTGAGCGTCCGCACATGTTACGTAATTATTGCATAACCAGGTTAAAAGATCTTTTTAATAAGATGCTAATAGAGGGGGAAATGCCAGTATATTGGAGAATGAGTTTTATTTTACTAATATTTAAAAGCAAGGAGACATACAGGAATATGGAAACTATAGAGGAATAAAGCTGATGAGTCATAGTATAAAGATTTGGAAAAAGATTATAGAGAAAAGAATAAGAAGAGAGATGTCAATATCAGAAAATCAGTTGGGTTTTATGCCAGGAAAATCAGCAATGAAGCTATTATTTGGTGTTACACCACTAGTAGAAAAGTGTAGGGAAAAGAAGAAAATGTATTATGCATGGTGCTTATAGATTTAGAAAATATGTATGTCAGGGTGCCAAGAGAAGTTTTAACATAGGAATTCATGAAAAAAGAGGTACCAAAAATATATATTAATTTGATTTAGGATATGTATGAAAGCTAGAGGACTAGTGTCGAGGGTTTGTGTGGTGTAATAGAAGATTTTAACTTAGGAATTGGTGTGAATCAGGGAATACACTTATTTGTTCCTTGTAGTAGTAGATGAAGTTATAAAAGAGATACAAGACGAGATACCATAGGTATGATGTTTGTTGATTATATAGTTTTGGTAGGAGGAAATCTGGAAGAAATTAATAATAGATTCGATAAGTGGAGGTTAGCTCTCGAAGGAAAGGGATTGAGAATTAGTAAAAATAAAACAGAGTATATATAGTATGACTTTGGAGGAAGATACCAAGAAGTTATGGGGATGAGGAGACCAGTGACAATAAGGGGTGATGTGATAGGTGAAGTCAAGAATTTTTAATATTTAGGATCATTTGTACAAAATAACCGGAAATTTGGCATCAATGTAAAATATAGGATTTAATGTGGTTAAATGAAATGGAGAGAAACGTTGGGCTTTTTATGTGATAAGAGGATTTCCATGAGATAAATTTTACAGGAATGTAGTGAGGTAAACTATGCTATATGATTCAGAGTGTTGGGCGGTTGACAGGAGAATAGAATTGAGTACGAGTGTTGCAGAAATGAAAATGCTTTTATGTGTAGGTGAAGTGACAAAATAAGATAGAATAAGGAATGAATATGTAAAAGGTAGTATTAGTGTAGAGTCAATAATGAACAAGATGAAAAAAATAGACTAAGATGGTTTGAAAATGCGATGAGGGGAGAGGAAATAAAAGCAATAAGAGTGAAAATTATTTATTAAAATAATTTATGAAAATGAACGTTGAAAATAAAAGAGGAAGAGGAAGACCAAAAAGAGATGGTTGGATACAATTGAAAATGATATGAAGGCTATTGGTAAGTATTTAGGGGATGTAGAAAATCTAGGAGACAAGTGAAGGTTCAGGACTAGAATAGTCAACCCCAAATAGTAGAAAGAAAAGCAAAGGAGAAGGAGAAGAAGAATTTGTTTTGAAAATAATATTAATATTATTATCATTTATTTTGTAGATTTTTAATAGTTATTCGTTAATTTTATTTATTGTATTTTAATTCATCAAAAATATCACAGTTTATTGTTTTATAGTTTATGTAGAATATTTTTGGCAATTTAAATTTTTAGATGAATCCCCTACAACATGTAAAGTATTTATTGATGAAGGTGGATTAGAACTATATATGAATATATTAAATACGTTTATTGATGACAGTACGGTAGAAACCAAAGTACTTGGTTTGATAAACAATATAGCTGAAGTACCACATTTGCGAGCAATGCTATTTAAGAATGATATTATTCCTACTTTAAGGTACTTTACCTGGTGAATTAATTTATATATGTATGTATGTATTTATTTGTGTTATTTTTAATATCCTACTTACTTATTTCAGACGTTTATTGCAATCGGAACAAATTGATGTAAGTTACTTTGCAGCTGGAATAATTGCACATTTAGCTTGTGAACCTGGTTGGGAAACATTTACTGCTAATGGAAAAACTGAAGTCTTGGAAGAATTACGGTATGCTGTTAAACAGTGGGTATCACCAGAAGGAGAAATGGTAGCATATAGATCATTTCAGCCTTTTATTGGCTTACTTAACTCAACTGATACACCACAAGTTCAGTTATGGGCTGCTTGGGCTATACTTCATGTTTGTACTAAAAATGGTTTGTTGATAAATGAATATTAATAATTTTTTAAAAAAAAGAACATAATTGAAACCATTTTTTTTTAAATTGTATTTCTTATTTATTTAATTTAAATATTATTACTACCATACTTTTTTTTAGCTAAAAAGTATTGTGCAATGCTTAATAAAGAAAATGGAGTTGAAATACTTCAAAAAATTGCACTTGACGAGTCAGTTGATCTTGAAGTAAGTGAACTATGTTATCATATATTGGATTTGATGAATGAATTTAGGTAAGTTTAAAACATATTAAGTTTTTAAATAACAATTGACAAAATTAAACTGCGTACTATTAGTTGAAGTATAATGCTTATTATGTTTATAGGAGTATTTCTAATCCAGTGCTACCCAATGATACATTTTAGTTTTTTACTTCAAATTATAGTATTCCTTTAAATTAAAAGTTATAATTTTTTTTTTTTTTTTTTTTTTAACTTCTTGTTTATATTTTATTATATTTTTATAATTTTCTTAACATATGTGTTGTAAGTATTGTATACCTTTGGCTTTAAATTGAGATTGAAAAAAAGTACCATGTAAAATGAAAAATGTAACAAATAAATTATACTTATTTCTTCTAGTTTTATGATATCTGTGTTAGAAATTAATTTAAAACTTTAATCTGTTTTATAATTATTTGAAACAATATATGATACCTGAAAATGAATCATTATAAAGTGTATATGTATGATTTTAACATTATATTATAAATATTTTATTTTTATTTATATTTTATAAATTCATTATTATTTATAACATTTAAACATTTAAGTTATAGATACTTTTTTAGTATGCTACTTACTCAAATGTAATGATTTATGATGCTAATATAATTTTTTGTTACATACAAGTAATTGGTTTGATAAATACCTAGATTGAGAAAGTATATAAACATATTGAATAAATTATTTAATTAGGTATTTATTTAATATTTATCATTATGTCTGCATTTTAAAAACAAAAACAAGATTGGACCTCCCTAGTAATGTTTAAACTGCTATTTGATTTATTCCAAGAAAAAAGTGTTTAATTGATAATTTTGTAATTACTTCCTGCAGATAGATCAGAAAAATCACATCACACACTGAATTGAATTTAGAATTAGTGTTTTATTATATATATATACATATATTAGAAATCATAAATTATCGATTATATTTTCAAGAACTACTTGCCTTCTTACACATGATGTAATGAGAAATTTTAAATTTTAATTTCTGTGCTGTTAAAATTATTCATCATTGCAAAACATATTGTAAGCTAAGAATTTTCAATGTTTTTGTTTCTTTCACTAGTCAGCAGAAATGTAATTTATTTCAGAATTGAGACTTATACTTAAATAATTAAGATTAGTAAAATAAATGTGAACAATAATTTTCTGTGAATGGCAACTCATAAAAGACTGTTATTATAATAGAACAATCCAATAAATGCCTTTTTATGAATTTTGTTATAATTAAAATCTGAATCATACATTTTTTTGAAAAAAAATTTGTTATGTTGTTAGAGATTATTCTTAAAATTAGAATGTTTGTACGTGGTATACTAAAATGTATCTAAATAATACTATTTTAATTTTGAGTTACATTAATTCATATGTTTTTTGTAATGTATTAAAAATGTTATTTATTATATAATAGTTAAATAATTTTTTTTGTGTAAATATTGGATTTTCCTTCAAGTCACTTGAGCCACCACATTATAACAAATACAATTATCTATTATATTTATTATACTATTTTTTTTTTTATGTATAGATTGTATAATTTTCTAAATTAAAAATATAAAAAAACAAAAAAATATTGGCTTTAATTAATAAGTTTTCTAAATTAAGCAGGAATATTTTGTTCAGTAATTTTGAGATTTAAAGAAATTCTAGGTATAGTATAGTACAATACTGCCATATCGGTAATCACAAATTTATTTTAATATAGAAATTGAAGACAATTTTAATATGATACAATTTATATTTAAATAGTAGCTTTGTAAGATAACTAATAAACCTTATCAGAAATTAATTTTCTAATGTTGGATTTATAAAAGATATAGATAAAAGATGTTTGCTTTATCAATTTTTTCCTGGTCAAAATTTCACTAAAAAAAAATTCTTTTAAACCTTAAAATATTTTATTTAATATATTTTTTAACCTTTAATTTGTCCAAGATTCTTATTATTTTAAATTTAAATACTATTCAAATATTTATAGTACTATATTTTTAAGTGTCATTTATGCAAATTAAAAATGTATTTTCTAATTAGAATTAAATTTTTTATATCAACATTAAATTATATAAAATATTTTAATACAATCTTTGGTTTATGGTTTCATTTTTTTAATATATTTATCTATTTAATTTGTGATCAGTAGTATCAGTGTAGTATAATCGGAATCAAGTTAGAATTAGAATTAAGTTATATTCTTTTTTTTCAAACCTTTTTACAATATATTGTAGTAAAAATTATAAAAAAAAATATCAGCCTCTAATACGTTGATTAATTAATTTTGTTTCATATGAGATAATAAATTAATATTTTATTATATTTAATATTAAGTATAATGTAACTAAATTATTGATTTGATATTTAAAAAGTTTGTTTCGAATTTTACTTATATTTGAAGAAGTTGTAGGAATTAATTTTATTTAAATAAAAAATAACAATTTTGAAATATAAATTGTTGATATTATACCTATGTAATTATTATTTTTGTTATTTTCTATGCATCTTTTTTTTTTGGGCACTTACTTTAAATTTCAAAAATATAAGATTTATGTTTATATCCATTGAATATTATTTATCAAATACTTTAATTAAAAATCTATTAGATACAAATTATTTTAGAATCATTAATTTATGATATTAATATTTATTTATTTTACTAATCATTAAACCTTAAAAATTAAAAATAAATCTAGCCAGGGATTTATTAGATAAAGCATGTAAATATTGGAATGTACGCATTTTAAATGACCTATAATTCTATAACAAATAATTGCTTTTTATAACATTAAAATGATAAGTATATGATAAAGATAAGTAACTATTATTGAATGATAATTTATTGTTATTACTTTATTTTATTCTTTAACATTTATCTGAAGTCTAAACCTAATATGCATTTTAATTTAAAATAATTAATATATGAAAAAGATTAATTTATCTGATTATCATATTTATTTCTAGCTTATACACTGTTTATCTACATTGATTATAATAATACATTCTTAAATTTATTTTTGAAATCTGACTTTAAATTTGATGTAAACAATTATTTTTTATTTAATGCATTTATTAGTACAGTCAGGAGTCAACACCCAAATTTTAAATCAAAACGGTCTCTGTAGTTATTACCTATAATTATTTAAGTATTTTAACCAGTACTTTTTTTATTAAATTTATGGGGCGTTATACATTGAGTTAGTAATATTATAAATGTTATAAAGTTATATAAGACAAATTTTATGACCTTTGTGACATTACTTGTTTTATCATATATTTATACAACATTGTATTGCAAATTATGAATCATGGAGTATATTTTTTATGTGCTTACATTCTGTATTTAGATACATTTTTTTCTCTTGATTTTTGTAAATTTATTAATCTGCAAGATATTTACTAAAAACCAACTAAATTGAAAACTTATCAATAGCCTTATTTTTAAAATAATTTATAAAATAACCAATTTTAACATTTTGATTAAAATCTGTCAAGTTAAAATTATGTTTAATGAGTTTATTATGTTTATCACCAAATGCATGTACTAATTTTATTTTTTCTTACATGTACAGATTTAATTGTGTTTTAGAAGTTTATAATTTTTTTTTTTTTTTTTTTGTTTGGTAGTTATTCAAAATACATACAATTAAATAATAATAATAGCAATTCTAAGTGACTGTTAAATGCATTATTTATCAAAAAAAAAAAAAAACCCACTATTGTGTATTTTTGTAGTAAATATCAAATAAAAACAATGAATGTTTAACATAAAAATCAAAAATATTCTGTTCAATTATTCTTTTATAAAAAGCTATGGAAAGTTATCTTAGTCCAATCTAATAAAATGTATCCATTATTAGAAAAACAATTTATTACACATATTATTGTTTATGTGCATTTGTATATTTGTTAGTGTAATATCTTAGTGTTTATTTACTTAACATTAAATTATTATTGTACAGTGTTTTTATTTTGTTAAAATATAATACATAAAAAGAATAATTATGTTTAATATTTATGTAAGTGTAGTCTTAAATTATATTATGTATAAAATTTACTTTAATAGTTATATTGTAATTTTTATAATTATCATAGACAATAGAATCATCATTATCTGTATATTATACTTGTAGAATAAATAATATTGTCTGTGTAAATTATAAATTTATTTTTAATACCTATATTTTTATGATTTACGTGGTAAGTATGGAAAGGTTAAGAAAACTCCATAAACTGAACACAAATAGATACTTATAGATAGTATATAATCAGTGGCGGATGCAGGGAGAGGTTTTGGGGTTTCAAACCCCCCATGAAATGAATGGATGATTAATTTTAAATGTAATTATCCTGCCTTATGTACCTTAAAAAAAATGAATTATTCAAAATACGATTAAAATATGCTAGAAAAAAAATGTTTTGTTAAGAAAAGTGAATTTGTAATAATTTGTAATTTTCCAAACGTTCTAAAAGGTATTGGTGTTTAAAACTCAAATGTTTGAAATTCCATGATGGCAATACTTCGTAAAAATAATGCGTGTTTGTAAGTTATTATCAGTAAGTAAAAATAAGTAAATATACGTAATCGATATAATATTATTTACAATGGTACATTATGATTGACGGTTTCCCTAAATTTTGTGTTGTATGGTCATGTGATAACGATCGACAATAGTCAATCTATAATCAATAGTAAATTATTTCAAAATAAAGGTAATCAGGTCCGTATTTAGAGGGGGGGGGGGTCGGGTAGGCACATGTCCGGAGGCGTCAAGTCTCAGGGGCGGCAAAATATGAATTATCATCATATAATTCCTATCATATAATAATACCTATAGCCCTTCTAGTTGTGTCACTGAACTACTATAGTTTACTATAATGGAAATCTAAAACAACTTTCTATTGATGTCGGAACAAAATAAAAAAAATGTAAAAGCTGTTTTAGACATTAGACATTAGACATTATAAATAATAATCTTTATTTCTTATTGCTTTCAATTAAATAATAAAAACGTTTGTATATCTTTGCTGTAATGTGCGAATAAAGGCAAATTAAAAAAAAAAAAAAAAAACGTTTATATAATTATATATTTTGTAATTTATACTTCAAAATATTTTAACTTCACTATGTAGCTACGTTAATGACACATAGTTGGGTCAAATGAAAGATATAAGTTTGCACTGATATTTTGCAAATTAATTATTTTTCCTGGTATTTGTATTCAATGTTTATTACTTACTGGCATAAGAGTTAGTTTGTTTCGTTTTTTTTTATTCATGTTGATCATATGCAATTTTTATAATTAACTTTCGCAGTATTCTATGACCTAATAAGACTTGATAAAAATTTATCGTAAACAAAAAAACAATTTTTTCTGTTAGATCCTCGGAAGGTTATATTTTACAAGTTACGCTTAATACTTACATAGATTAATTAGCACATATTTAGCACGTAATACTTATTACAACGATTATGATATCAAATAAGGTGTGTTAAATTGTTCATAATAACATTGGCATGTTGAATCAAATATGTATTGAATGTTGCATATATATAGTAGATTATTTTAATTTAATTTTAAACGTTTCAGATCAGTCCGTGTCTTAAAGAACAGTAATACGATGAGATTATTTTACAGTAAGAAGAACGTATATACATAATGTTAACCAAAAGAGGTAAATGGATATTTATTAGCAATGCGAATCATCCTAAATATTGCATATTCATGATTCATGAGGTCTATGATCAATATGAAACCCATATTTTAGGGCAATGGTGCAACTAGTGGTGGGGTTTGGGGGTTGTATCCCCTCAACATTTTTCTGAGATTTGTACAATTTCTACGTAGGAAAAAAAAATGGTTTATCTTGAACGCACGAAACGTCTGATTGATATGAAATATGAATATTATTCATAATATAATATATAAAAATAATAACATGACGATATGAAACGTTTTGTAACGTTCCAATCAACTTTAAAACATCAATAACCTTGCTACTACGATATATCGATAGTCGATTATAGGTAGGTATAATATTTTTTTTTTGTGATATCACAATATGAAATAGAAGTTAAATATAGTTTAATTTGTAATTTAAATATTTTACTCATAAACCTAACTCAATCTTATTTCCTTATCTCTATCAAACACCTGCAGAAAATGCTTATTTTTACTAAATTCACAACCCCCCCCCCAAACCAATCCTGGTTGCGCCACTGTTTAGGATAATGCAATTGTCAGTTATACGCTTTAAAACAAATATGATTATCTGAAATAACGAATTATGAAAGTATATAACGTATCCGCCAATTTAATGTAAAAAATCATAAACAAAATTTAAAAGTAAATATCCCCGATAATCCTAAAAGAAAAATTATTCAAATTTGAATTTGTTATTTTTTATAACCTACATCGTTACCTGCAGTATTTTCGCAAGCTTTTGCAATGTCCTAGGCAAAACCAGTAAATTTTCCTTACACCCTTACAATATATATAGCAATTCTAATTTGACAAATTGTGGATATTCGAATTTTAAGTGCGAGGCCCTAGGCATTTGCCTAAGTTTCTAGCCCGTTAACGACGACAAAAGTTACCTGACTCAATATGTAAAAAAAAACCGAGTAATGTCATCTAAGATCAATTAAATTTAAAAAAAATAATGTGTTAGCATAATCGGTGCATTTTTATATAATATTCATTAGAGGTAACTTAATAGAGATAATGAATTATACTTAAATTATAAACTAGGTCATTCATTTATACTGACCCTATCTATAATTATTTGTGTCTTAAGCCCAAAGTATAGGGGATAACATTTAGAGTATTTTATGAAATACAATTATATCCAAACATATCATAGCTATCTTTACTTAATTAAAGTCACTTCAACCACAGTTTATAAGTTCAAAAATTTGAACTAGTTATTGAATTGAAAGAGCGTATAAAAAATTGTAAAAAAAATATCCTACAAATGAACATGTTCATTATTTAAAGGGATATATCAATAGTCCGATATGATCGAATATATAATTGTATAAGTACCTATACCAATAATGTAGGAAATTTATTATATATTGTATACAGAGGTGGATTGATGAATTATTTCGGTCGGGAAGAATGGATTAAACCGGCATATGCACCACAAATGTAACTTTCCTTTTCCCCCCATAATTTAGGACATAATTTTACTTAAATTTCAAAATTTGTTTAGTTACACCCTTAAATTAGTAAAATATATAATACCTATAATATTATAATATTATAACTAAAATAATTTTGATTTAATCGGATAAGGTTAACTATAATTTGGATTTGAAGTTTGATCTTAACACATTTTTAAATATATACAGAAAATATCCTTAATATGTTGTAACCAATCGGCGTCCAATTTAAATTTTCATTTATATTTCTAATTATTATTATTTAAATATTAAATACATTTAATTATATTTCCAAAATGGTATTCATCACCGGTTCAATACGCAGACTAAGTTAACAGGTAATGATTAGATGAGTTACTTTATGTTTTAATAAGCTTAAGTGTTAGAAAACTAGAAGCCACTTATATTGGTTGACTTAGTGGCATTAAGTAAAATAAATGTTGGTTTATTTTTTGACAAATTAAAAGAAATTACACTTTCAAAACATATTAATTCCAGGCAGATATTTAAGTGGACGAATTTGAAATCTCTTCATGCCAACTAAACTATCAAAAGTTATTTCTTCAACTGATATATGAAGAGTGTCAAAAATTGTATCTGCAGAACGTGAGAAAATGTTCACTATTGTTTAAGGAATAAGTACTACAGGTGTATACGTACCACCCTTCCTAAGATTTTCACGAAACTGTATAAATATACAATTATTAGAAAGAGCACTTCTGGTTCAGTTACCATTGGTGATGATAATGGTTGGATGATTTTTGAAAGTTTCTAGCTTAATCTAATGAATTTTTTTATCCATGTCAAATTAACTGCTGAAATCCTGTTATTAATTCTGGATATCCACGTGTCACATATTTATCTTCAAGCCAACTGGTTTGGCCATGAACACAATATTACAATGCTTGGATTTCCTATCCATATCACTCATAGGTCACAACCACTAGAAATTGCAGTTTTCGGCCCTCTAAAAACGTTTTATAATCAAACTTATGACCCATTAATGGTAAATAACCAGAGACGTTCTATAAATGATCGATATATTGGAAAACTATTTATCGAAGCATATAATTGAGTTACTATTTCCCCAGCGCCGGTCCTAGGGGGGTGGGAGCAAGCGGTGCGACCGCACTGGGCCTCGCGCTTGTATGGGGCCCTACAAGGCGTATATTTATGGGGGGGGCTAAGGGGACTTCAGCCTCCCTCCCCGAAATCCAGGAATTGTTTGTTAAGTCTGCTTATTATGTCCTATCAGATGTAAATCGTAAAAGTTCAATATAATTTTATAAAGAATTATTAGTATCAACGAACAAGTTATTCATGTAAAGGGTCCGACGATTTTGATCGTAACGATTATACCATTGAGATCGGTCATTGTGCTTAATTTTGACGTACGGTACGGTACTGCTGCATTATCTTAATTTCGATTTCTTTTACCTAGAATTGATTTACTGATATACACGCGATAACAACCGATATACAACCGATAACACTATCACGGTGATCGGTTTACGTCGTATAGTTGTTACTTGTTTTTGTTATTATAGGTAAATCTTGTATAATAATTTTCCAACTTTTGTTTTTAATAGGCTGAATTGAGGAATTTCAGTTGAAGAAAATACCACAGACCTCCAAAAAAAAATAAAAAAAAATATCTAAATAGGCCCTTGGGGCCCCACAAATTATATATAATGATTATTACTTTGTAAATAAAATTAATATAGTCCCAGCACGCAAATCGCCACCCGCGTGGTCGTGTGGTCTTCTCAGTAAACGGGTTGTTATCAATGAAAATTAAGATGGTACCAATTACGCATAGCTTTGACGTATTATACGCGCATGCACTTGTAAAATTGTTTATCGTCGACGACAGTTCGAAATACAGTTATAGTATATATTTAGTTATATAATAATACGAAAAAACATAGATTTATATAAACAATTAATAAATTCATATATTTGTATGGGGTCCCGCAAAATTCTGCACCAGGCCCCGAAAACCGTCGGGCCAGCACTGTATTTCCCCTACTAAAATAATTGTAATATTATTTCATACCTATTTGATTTTTTTATAGTTTGATTTATTTATAAAAAAATGTTTGTAATTAGGTATATAATAAGTATAGCGGCCTTTATAAGAACCGGTCCATTTGAAAGATCCTCAATTTCTCGATAGGCCAGTCAACCCCTGATTGAACATAGCAATGCGAGTTTATTTGTTACTTAACTATTATATGTAGCACCTATATATGTATTGCATTCCAATGTAAAATAATATTTACACTAAAAGTAATTTGTTTTAATAATATAATATATTTTTAACTATAATATTTTTCTAAATTCATGATAAATTTAATTTATACAAATTAACATAGTATGTATAAATACTTCGAACATTTTTTTATCTACTAACTAACAGTATTTAAATATTTAAATTATATATTATATTGATAAACATCACAGTCAAAAATAAATAACAAATTTATAATAATATATAACTATACATATACACGAGATAATTATTAATTAAAAATGGTGATTTTATTCTAACCAATGATAAAACTAGTCTAATAGAATTTTTAGTATAGGTATATATATATATGTACTCGTATATATATGGTTTTTTACGAACACAAATTTTCAAATTTTAGAAATAATAATTCATGTTTTATAAAGATTTTTTATAAATAATACGCTGAGAGATAACATTTTAACAGCAATTTTACTTTATATAAATGAATAAAAATATAAAATTATACCATTTTTAGGTTGAATAATTATTGTTGTTTTTATTTTATTTTATTTTGTTTATTTTTACTATTAATAATTGATAGATGATGATTTATGAAGAATCATCATAAATAAATAAATACATATGTATTACATACTATATATTATAATATAATATCTAGTATAGGTGAGGAAGGATTAGTTATTAACACCGTTTTAAATAGATTCAATAAAATTAAATAATAATTTGTATACAATATAGAAATTCAAGTAAAAAAAACCAATTAAACACAATTTATCAGTCGATCAGCAAGGGGAATCGGTTTCTGAAGCACCATTAATTTGTTTCCAAACTTTTTCTTCGATTTGCTGAAAAATTAAATGCAGATTTTATACATTTATCAATCAAATATTTACAAAATATTAGTAATTTTAATGTTATTAACACTAAAATGCATTTATATACCACTAAAATATCTGAGGAGTGGTATACTTCACTGTAAAATGGAGCCCTTTATACTACATTTTCATAACAAGGCATAAAATTACACTGTTATATATTATTTTGAAATATTTTCAAGTTAATTAGTAATGGCATATGGATGATTTATAAAAATAATGTATAATTAGTTGTCCATGCATTTAAATTTATTTTAATCAAGGAACTTCTGGATAGTAATTATGTGATATTTTCTTGAAACATTGGTTATTTACTTGATTATATTTTACCCAAAAACTTATAATTTCAGTTTTGGCCTGAAAAATGTTAAACTCCTTATTTTATAATTAGCCAAGGTTAATTTAATTTATAATACACCGATTAAAATCTAAAACATAAATAATTCACTTTGCACTTACTGCAAATGACCTTTCAACATTCAAGAGTACTGGTTAATAGTACTACTTATTAGTTAATGAAGATAGATTTATAAGGTTATGTTATATGTTATAAATTTTTTGTTTAAAATTTAAGAAATAATGCGCAATTCCAAATGACTTGAATCACCAGATTAACTAGATTTTTGGCTTTCTTATTAAATTGTTGGTTAGATTTCTTTTTTTATATTTAGTTATATATAGAGAGTCCTATGAAGATGACGATGGTGACACAATATGACACAATATGAACATTGTTAATATAACATTATCTAACAATGTTCATAACTTTGAAAGTTTCCCAATATTCATAATAAACAAAGCTAAAAGGTTTTATTTATTCAAGTTATTTGGCGTGTCAGATTAAATATTAATACAATATAAATTAAAACCAATATAAATCATCGTAGATAGAATTTATCCATGAAATTAAAAAGCATTCAAACAACTAAACGTTAATATCCAACTATACTAATTATAAAAAAATTCCAAATATTTTACAATGTGCAAACATCTATTTGAATAAAATTAATTTTTCTTAGTATCATTCAATCCAAAAATAATAATAAAATTAATGAAAGTCATCTAGGGAAATAAAATTTATTTTGTTTAATTGAAAAGTTGCCTGAAGAATAGTATTTTGAAGAACCGAAAAGTGTTTCGGGTACAATTGTTTAGTATTATGTTAATAAGAATTTAATATTATTTGTCTACATTTTCAACTTGCAATAATTTTATTTAAATCATTAGTAGACGTTATAAATAGTATATTTTTAAGTACCTTATCATTATTTTATATTTTTTATACGTATAAAATACAATTAAATTACAAACATTTTACTAAATAAATTCAATTTAATACAAATTGAAGCACCAATAACCGAAAGGCAATACCTTACACCCATAATTGTTTGACATGCAGACACATATTAGACACCATCACCTTAATTGTCATGGCGTCTTACCCGGTGGACCATTTTATTTTGATCGTATCGCTCGACCAATTCCTTTTCTGAAAGATATGCCAAACATTCAGACCTCACAATTGAAGCTTCGATTTCAGGTATTAGAGTTAGGGCAGCTCTTTGCTTTCGTTTTAACATGGTTGACAATGATTTCCAACCTTTACCAGAAGATTTAACGGTAACTTTTAATCCGATGGTGTTGTTGTTTGTTTCTTCTGGCAGTTCTTCTGGTAATTCGCATTCTACTTGGTCGTACACACTCAACAAATGCGCGCAATCTTGACGCATTGATACATAACCTAAATCATCTGCGTTCTTACCATTTAGTATAACTGTTTTAGTAGTTTTCATACTAGCTGCATCACTATCACTACTATCATCTGTTCGGTCATTGCTATGACCATTTGGAGATTCTAAATCTTGGATATCTTGTAAAACATCATCTAAATCTGCACCACTGAATCTAGAAAATCATTAAACGTTCTTACAATAATGTATAAATTATACATAATAGTTTCATTGAATAAATTTGCTTGAAAATAAATTATTAGAAAGTTTATTAAAATAATTAGTTTATGATATGAAGGTCATATTATATAAGGAGTCTATGGACTTCTCAGGCTTTTTTTTATTTTATTATTATTAAAATGTATAGTATAAATGCATAATATAAAATGGGTTACAAAATTACAACATTACGAATAACAGAGGTGGGAATTCATCTAGTGATAGGACTATATGCAATAGGAGTATTGATATATTTGTAATATCATTGGTACATTATACAGAATTATTTTTATTTTTAAAAGAAGATATTGATATAATTTTCGGTTTAATCATCGGGTCGGATTATTAGGAAGAGTTATGGTAAAAAGACGAGAGATTAGAGAATTCGAGGGGGAATAGAGGTTACTATTGAAGTTAACATAAGGATTTTTAGCTGGTTAAATTTATATTGACTAATTTGAGATCTTAATGAAGAAAATAATAAGAAATGTATCAATGTAGTGTATCTGAGGCAATGACGAGCAACAAAATGTATCGAAACACTTAAATAGTGAGAATTTGAGAAGACCTCCTCAAACTCCTTTAAACTTGGATACCATAGATCTGGATGGGTCTAAATAAGGAATTTTTACATAGTTAACGATGATTTTATTGATAAAATTTAAAATAAGTGAGATCGAAGATCCATTATTTGTTATTATCACTATCGGTCCAAGTACTGATTTTATAATACGAGTAGATATATTATAAAATATCTGGTAGGTATTATTCATGTTTTAAGATAAACAGCTTCATGGTTTATCTGTATATTATAAAATTGATTCTCCGGATGTATGAATAAGAATAATATATAAAATATATTCAATAAGCTTTACAGTGGATATGCAGATTTTTCTCTGATTATTACTATTATTTATTTATTTATTTATTTTTTTTTTTTTGAGAATCATATAATCAAAGCATTGTATCACACATAAAAATGCATAAATGTAAAAATTATTACGTAATAATATTACATACATGCAACACTTGGAGAGTGGGGTTTTTGGGGTAGCAGTGTTCGGTTAGTATTAACCCCACCGGCCGCCCTCTGAAATAATCATTCTGAAGTGCCACTCACCTTTCTTCGGGCGATTCAACATGTTTGGACAATCGGTTGCCAATGGTCTTCTGCAGTTCTTCCATCAGCGAGGCGTACTGCACGGGTTCGGCGACAGGCGGTGGCCTGGGTGACAGGCTCCGGGGCGGTCGGTCGGCGGACACGATAGCCTCCTGCGCGCTGGCCGACAGGGCCGTGTTCAGCCGGGATCTGTACACGGACGGCTCGGTCAGCTTCTCCAGACACTCGTAAATGGGAGTGGCGCAGGCAGCGTTCGCGGCCGTAGCGACGGTGGCGGTGGACACTGAGTCCTGCGATGGGCTCTCGGACAGTCCGACAGGCGACGGGGTGCGCGAGAAGCTGGTCATCAGCTGCGCGGGCCGGCTGCCGGTTCCGTCCATCTCGACGATCACCACTGGCGTCACTGGCTTGGCCCTACGCTTCAGCGTCACCGTACGGCTGCACACGGTCGCTGACGCGGCCACCGTTGCCGGCGGCCGATGATCGAGCGCGCTCAGCGATTCCGTCGACGCGTACGCGTTACAACCGCCCGGCCCCGCCGTGCCGTCCGACTCGAACACCCACGACCGCCCGTAATTGTTATCCGATGTTTTTCCTGTAATGCTGTTCGATCTCAGCACGCATTCCGACTTAACCTGTTCGTACGACAATAATGGTATAATATCTTACGTACCAACACCGAAATCAATTATGGTATTTATAGAACTTCTATGCAAACATGCAATTCTTCCGATACAGATTTATAAGGGCGTGCACGAAATTTTGGTTATTTTATAATACATATAAAACTAAAAACGTACGGTTATTTTCTAAAACATGTACTGAAAGGATTTTCATTTGGACTTATCTTTATTTTGAGATTTTGTTTTAGCAATTAAACGCATGAGTTTTTAATAAAAAAAGAAATGTAATGGCTTATTTGGTGGTGTATTACAGTGATATGAAATAAAAACATACCCTTGGCATGATGTAATCCACGTCTGAATTGTTATCTGGTTCCGTAGTGTGTTGCCTTTTATCTACACGTAGCATACAACAAAATGTTATTTGAGAATCGAAAAATGCACCGACTATGGCCACTAACGTGCTTATGCTGGTGGTGTAACGAGCTATAAAATAAGATTATTTCATATTATTCATAGTACTATGGTAAAGATTTATTTTAAATTATATATTGTGTATGATGTATCTGCAATAGGCACTTAAAATTATATAGATGTGATAATGTATTTTCTTACTTTAATTGTTTTACTTAATTGTTTACTATATCTAGGGTAGAATTTATTTTATTTAATACAATTTAGATTTAATAAATGTATAAAAAATAAGTATTTTAACATAATTTGTTATAACCTTAATATATATTGAATACATCAACTTAATTACAGAAAGTTTTTTTCAGAAAAAAGAATCGTTTTTTCGGATGCCAATATGCCAAATGCGAATCTCAAAACACATAAAATATACATCTATACTTCGAAGAAATAATATTTAAATATTAATGTAATATTTTTACAATAGAGCAATAGGTATTTTTTTTTTTTTTTTTTTTTATTTAGGATTTTAACCGAATTATGTCATAAAATGTAGATATTTTATTTAGTTACCTATAATTAACTAGTGTCAGTCATTGGCATTGATCTTTCCCCAAACATCCGGGATATAACATATTTTAAACTATCCTAACTAAAAACAAGTGTATTATGATGCTCAATTATGTGTCAAGGGGAAAATATACATTTCGAGTTCTCATACAATTACCATCAAAAAAAGTTATAGGGGATTTACCCTACATGGTATACTCGTAAATGTTTGTTACCTCTGTTAGCTTATAATTATTTTATGATAAAATTAATTGTAATTTAATTTATACTAAAACGATATTTTTACCCAGGACTTTCGTTTTTGGATAGAGCCAATTAAAAGCCGATAAATCTCAAATTATGCAAGATTACATGGTGTCATTGATTGAAACATAAAAACATGAAGTATGAAATTTGGTGAAATAAATTGTTTTAATATAGAACCTGATTGCTTATTCACATTTATTATATTAATTTAAGAATTATTAGTTATAATTTGTTTTAAATATTTAAAGATTGTTTATTAAATCAACTTAGATTCGTTTAAATCATATAAAATAGAATCAATAGTAGTTATGAAAAAGTATAAAAATCATAGTTATAATTCAAATTACCATACAAAACCAAAGTTTCCAAGCCTTCTTTTGACATGATATGTTTGACAGATTCTGGTGTTAAGTACCTCCATTCACCAATTTCCAAGATAATCAAATTTATTACATTCATGATTAGAATAGTTATAGTAAGACATAAAAGGCCTTGCTGTTTGGCTGTTGTCCAATCACCTACACATGAAAAAACTGCTCCTCCGACTCCAAAGAATACGTTCTAAAGAAAGAAACAAATATAATTATTTGAAAAAAATTAAAATTAAAATTTTAATTACAAAAATCTTGGTATTATACAGCTATACGTATTCTATACGTAAAGCTATACGTATTCTCCTGTTATACACATCATTTATGAATATTTACGAATTTTTAATAATAATATAAATATATATACCTAATATATAATAATAATATGATTTTGAAGTAAATTTTTCATAATTAGTTTAGTAATTTATAAAATGTGTTGTACGTTGCACTATAAAAAAAACACTATAGTTACCAACATTTTTATCTATCGTAAAGGATAAGATGTCATGTGTACATGAATGCTAACATTGATCATTAAATAATAATTTACCCAAGACCCGGTCCATATGTTTGATCCTATTTTAAGTACAGGTACTGTGAAAAGGAAAAATATGCCTGCTACAATTTGAACTGCGCCAACGCTTATATACAGCACACTCCACAGCAGGTGTATGGCGGTGCATGCTTGAGGCCAGCTTAAGCACATCAAGTCATCTATATGATTTTACTTTTTCACGATTTTGCACCCGTATTGTTGATTGTATTTTCTAAAAATAAAAAAAAATAATTAAATTATATTACATTTTATAAATCATATTTCATACATTTTTTATTTATACAAGCAAACGTAACACGTATAATTAAACTTATACAAGTATACGCAAGAGTATTATTAATTAATTGTATAATTGTATTAATAGAAATAATCAATAAAATACAATAATATAAAATATTATAGTACTCTTTATAGATCTTATTTTCGTATATACGTATTAAACTATTACTGTTATGATATTTATTTTAAAATAATTAATCTTATACATAAATGGATGTAAAATGTATACACATTAAATAAATAAATCATGTGACGAAATATTTATAAATAATAAAGCATGTAAGATAAAAATTTTAAAAATGTTTGTAAGCAGAAATAGTGATTATTTAAAAATCGAGGTTTATTGATTTTACGTATATTATTATATGGTGCTTTGGAGCAACTAATTTTGAAGGTTTTTGATAATAATTCAAATAGGTTCTCCTGACATTGAGACATTTTTTTATCACATTTTATTTGTTGATATCCATTCAACAATATACTTTCCGTCACGGTTACTAACACAAATTTATTTCCGGTAATGTTTTTTTCCTTTAAAAAATACATTTTATGTATGAAAATATTATTTATTGTGAGTAATTTGTATTATTGAGATGTTAAGCATGCGCATTATTTTGTTACAATAGTCACCTCGTTATCAGAAGAACTATAAAACTAATGTTTATTAACCATGGTAGGTGTTCCGTGACGGATATACGTAAATACAATTTTATATTTTTGCCTTCATAAATTAACATGAAAACCAAATCAATTAAAAAAATAATGTTTTTTTTATTAGTTTCTACCAATAACAATATGATTGGTATAACTAAACTAGTAAAATACTGAAAAGTAATAAAAATTATCATTTATATATTTAATGCACATTTCAATTTTGTATAATATTCAAAATAATTAAAATATAAAAATAACAAATAATTTTACAAAGATGTAAAATGTACAAGAAGAAATTTCTTCCTTTGCTTTGTTCTAAAAATGTTTTTATACTTAAAAATAATCAAAATAAGATTGGTATGATGGTATGATATTATAAAATATTACTAACTATTGTATGATTAAATATGTATATGCATGATGTATATACATTTGCAAGTTTATTCTTTAAGTCAAAATGAATTGGTTGTTAGTTATGTCCACGATTTTGCTAATCCTTGATTAAATAGTATTTGTTTTTTGCTTATTTTGAACGTAATGTATATAATTGCAAATTTATAGATTTTTTTAAATTTTGTTGATTTTGATCATTTTAACCTTAGATTTTTAATTTTTTATAATATTGTTGAAAAATTAAACGAATTGTCTGAAGACAAACATTTAAAAAAATATTTAGCTTATTTAAAATGTAATTTATTTTTCACCCAAAAAATTACTAATATTGAAAAAAGTACTCTATCTCTTGGTAATGCCTTATACACTATTTTAAATGTGAAAGATATACTATTCAAATGTAAGGGTAAAGTAGCAGAATTGGTAAAAACTAAAATAGACTGGCGACTAAAGAAGAATAGGGATTAAAAACACTTAAATTTCATAGCATTATAGACGATGAATATGAAACGGAAGAAGATTTTAATTATTTCTTTAAATCCGGGACAAATCGCGTTATTTAAGTATGCTCCAATAATATCGTGTATCGTACAGAAAAGTTAGGTTAGGTGTAGAATAGAGTTTTAGTCAATCTATTTTTATTTACAAATTCGTACAAAATTGTACGCTCACATCGTCAGAGGGTCATATTTGAAAATTTAAAACAACGTATCATAACACATTGGCATAGCCAGGAGTGGGGCTGGGAGGGCTGCAGCCCCCCTCGAAATATTAGAAATATTAAGAAAATTTAAAAATTATTTTAATGATCCATAAAAGTCGTTACAAAAGTCTTGAAAAAATTGATCAGCCCCCCCCCCCCCGAAAAAAAATCCTAGCTATGCCGCTGTCATAACAGCATATAATAAATAATAACATTTTATGTAATAATAGCATGTAATAAAAAATAATAATTCTAGAAATAATAAAAATTTATTTTGGTATATTTTTACATATTTTAATAAATAAAATGCAAGTCTTACAAATTTTAATTCCATATAAATCGTATCCCTGATTATTACACAACAAATTGCATCAATACTACCGACAAATAATATCATTATTATTTTTAAAGTAATATTATTGAGTCAAGTTAAGTTAAAAAAAAAAAGGTAAATGTTATTTATTATTTATCAAAGAATTTATAACATTTAATTTTGAAATCTTTATTATAATAGCATTTTAAATTTTAATGAAATATAATACTACTAAAATACTTAATCTATATGTATATACATAATATACTTTATAACTATATAGAATAATATCGATATCACGAATATGGAATTATATCAATCGAAATCTTGTCTCAAATATCAATACACTTACTCATATATGTGAAAAGTATCGTTTTATAAAATATACCTGATAAAATAACACATCTATCTCTGGACCCTTCTACTAGTATGTACCGAATACATTATTTAAGAAGTTTAATAAAATTTAAACTCGATAAAATTAGGCAGTAGACATCTTATACATATTTAAGTAAACTTTTTATATTAATTATAAGCTTTAATAACAGTCAAATCAAGAATATGTTCACGTTTGCCTACAATAGTATGCAAAGATTGCGCATTAAATTCGAAAATTTTACAGTAGATACAGTAATACCATAGTAAATTATGAATAATAACAAATTAAATATTTAAGAAATATAATATTTATTGCACGTACTTACGATGTTAGGGCCCTGTAAAGTCTTGATTATACTGAGTTCAATTGTTTTTATCAATTCATGATATTTTTTATTTATCGTCAAGATAAGATAAAAAGGTTAAGAGAGCAGGGGCAGCGGTCATAAATAGATATGGAAAAATAATTGTGACAACTATTAATAAAATACACCTCATAAAGTAATGTAATTATATATGACTAATATCAGTAAACAATAACAATTTAATCTGTTAACTTAGGTATTCCTTTAATTTCCTATACTATTTTAAATTGTATAAGGTAATGTGCTTAGGGCGCTTATTTATATAACTATGTAATTATTATGCGATCGTAATGAATGTTACAAAACTAATATTTTCATCATACATAGTACAATGTATTATACTTTTAAGCACTTTTACTTTGAAATCATTACCTTTGTACTTTTGCACAAGGTAATAATAAAACGATATTAAAAACGTTGATGACATAATATAATTTTTTATAAATAAAGAATAATGAATTTCACTAATTTATTTAACAATAAAATAATAGTTATGTAAAATCAATATTAATGTAATGATTTTTTAGTGTAGTATCCTTCATACTATATTTATAATCAATTCATTAAATTATATAAATATCAAATTAAATTATGTATTTAGAAAATTAATAATTATTCAACTTTAATTAATTTATTCTGTGAATTCATAGATGTGTTTATACTCAAGTCTTTATACTTTGTAATAGATTTTTAAATAATACAAAGATATAAAATTAAAATTAATAATAATACCTATAGTAATTAATGTGCCTAATTATTACAATTGAGAAACCAATTCTTTAAAAGTATTTATTATTTCATACTTATATAAATACATAAATCAATAAATTAGATCAAATTATGTAACTTTTTAATTTAATATATTTAAAATTGTGCATATTCAATAATTGTAAATAATAATAATATTAAATAATAATGAATAATAAAAAAAATATGGTCAAATCTTTAAAAATAAATTAAGTAATAATCTTATTCGGTATATCATGTATTTCTTTATTAACAACTAGAGTAATTAACTAGAGTATATTTATTTTATTTATTTGTATTAATAATTATAGCATAACTTGAAAATCTATATCTTATAAATATTTTAAATGTTAAGTGATAAAATAATTAAATTATAATATAATTTATTTGAATTGGTTTTCTTTTAATATATTTATTTATAACTATTATATTATGTAGGTATTTCTTTTTTCATTGACATTTTTATGTTCTTAAATACCTCAATGATAAAGTTATGTCCTCGATTCTTCAATATCTATCTTGTGTTTTTATACTAATAATTGTATTTCATTGTTAATAAAAAAAAAAAAAGTAGAATTCATAACAATATTATTTATTAATAATTTATTTTTCATAATATATGCATCTATTATGAAAATAGAATAATGAAATTAATAAATCTACATGGCAAAGGTTAAAAAACAAGTATAGTTGATATATACATATTGGCATTACGTTTAATATACTTTAAAATGAACAGTATTATTTTTAAACAATGATTGGTATAAAATTTAATGAATAATAAATATTTTTAACAATTATAAATAGCCTTCATTTTAATGTAAATATAATTTCTACGGAATATTTATATTAAAATTTAAAACTGAGTATACTTTAAGTCTACAACACTTGATAATTGTCATTTTTTTTTTTTTTTTGTAATTCGAAACAACACACGAATGGTTCGGTATTGTAATAACTATGCTAACTATAAACCGGATGAAAATTACGTTGCTATTAACTTGTTAACGAGTAAATAGGATGTATACTATATTGTCGCATCATCAATCGCAATGGGAGAAATAGGGAAGGGGCTTTTGAAACAAATTCGCACACTATTTACTAAAATAATAGACTTAATAGTATACTTCACTATATTAGAAATTAGGGTCCAAAATATGTCATCCATCAAAAAAAGAAACCGCACACACGCTGCTTTTTAATAATGGAGCCCATTATGAAGATCAAAATTCAATTAACTTTTGACTACAATTGAAAAAAAATAGTTCAAATACACTACTGAAATTTTAAATTTCATATTGTGTAATAAAAGAAAATATTATTTCACCAATGTATTTTTACTCTCATTTAAATTAAAATATACTGAAAAGCACATATTT